TTTTTTTTTTTTTGTTAATTTTGATACCCTTTAGATCATAAATACTTCACTATTTCATAAATCACGATTTCATATATTTAATTTTATAATTTCTATATGCCATCTTACTAGATTTAAACTGATGATCTAATATCCAGAAAAATACCAAATCCTGAAAGTCCCGATGAGTCCAGATCTCAGATTTTGTACTGTACTATTTATTGGGGTCTATAAGCAGGACGATACATTTTACAAATTTAATTCATACCTTTGCATTATTCATCAAGAAAATGAGACCACTAAAGCTCAACCTCAATATCATAATGATTGTTACTGTACACACTGGAAATTTTATATGAGGATGGCCTTTGATTCATCTACTTTTTAAAGTTTTGCTTGATGAGCTGAACTACGAGTATGGTGATATAATTTACCATGTAGAAGTAAGGTGGCTGAAGTAAGGAAAAGTTTTAATAAGATTTGCTGGATTGTTAATGAAGATTAAATTTTTTTTCATATCCAAAGACAATTATGATAAAAAAATTAGATAACATGGAGTGACTTGCTAACTTGGCATTTTTAACCAATATCACTGCAAAAATCAATGGCTCAAATATCATGTTATAAGGAAAAGCAAAACACATATCTGAAATGAAGAGCTCAATAACTGTTTTTTTGCTAAAATCAATTTACAAGAACTGGAGGAAGAACAACTTACTGGAGAAGGACTATGAACAATTTCCATCCTTCAACCTCTCTGGAACTTATTCTGGAGTATGATCTACCTAAGCATGCTGAAAATCTTCAGTTCTGCTCAGAATTTAAAAGAAGATTTTAAGATATGTTTTCTATGGAGCTCATTTGATTGTTCACAAAAAAATCCTTTGTTGGAATTTGACATAACAGAAGTGACTTTGTCAATGGAAAAATTTTGTTTTATTAACAAATCAGAGACTGAATTAAAGATTATTATTTTTTGAACTCAAAATCACAGAAAATAAAATTGATAAAGTTTTTAAACTAATGGACACTATTAAACACAAAAACATGAAAGCATGTTTTGGGTCAACATACCTCAATATGCAACCTTCTTTACAACTTAAAATAATAAAAAGCAAATACAGAAACATGTTCATTCCAGAGCAAGTGAAAAACAACAAGGTACTGACATGCTGCATGTTAGAATATCAGCCAAATTTTAATGAATGATCCGAGAATATTTATAATCAGATATCTCATTAATAGCAAGTTAATGACTTAATGCAGTATTGACTTGATGAGATATCTCACAATTTAACAGATTTTCTTATATTAATAACTGTGCTTTTCTTTATTTTCTAATTTAAAATAAAATTTTCTTCAGTCAGCTGTTACGCTTGAAAGATTTTTTAGCTTTTTCTGCTCATTTAGTGGCTTTTATTTAAAAAAAAAAATCTTTGGATATAAAATTTTGACATAGTGGTGATATAAATGTTATAGAGATTTTTTTTTTTTACACTTTTACAAAGAATGCTACATTTTACAGAGGTTTTGTGAAGTATAAAATTTTGTTACAGGTATAACACAGATGCTATAAAGGATTTTGACACTGTACAATTTTTGACAAATTAAAGCACTGTGATGATTGTGATGATGATAAGAACGAATGATGATATTGATTTGTATTTTGAAGTTATGGCTGTGTTAATGGAATTATATTTTGATAACAATCTTTGCACTATTAGATAGCTCGAAAAACAACAATCCAAATAAATTCAATCAGTTTCTAAGGTAGCTTTTCATTTTATACAATTTTTCTAATACATATCCATTTTTTTATTCATAAGGCTGCGATCACACGTCGTTTTGTTTCAGAAGAACAACTGTTTGGAACAATTTTTCTGCTTTGTCACAACAGCCAATCACCATCAATCGCTTTAGGAACACAAAGGGGAACTGGTTATCATAAAAAAAGCTGATAGCTATTGTGAAAATGAACAAATTGCAATTTTTTTTGAAAAGGCAGAAAAAAGTTGCACATCTTTCTTTCAATAGTAAACCCGGCAGAAAAATTGTCCGAAAAAGGTGTTCGTGTGAAACAAACGCCGTGTGATATGGGCCTTATATATCCAATACTTTTAAAACTTGACATCAGAAAATCTATGGTTTTTCTATTGAAATTTTTGCAGATCATAAAAAATCAACTCTTTGCCCTATTAAAATAAAAGTACAAAACATTAACTGGGTGATTTTAGACAGTTTCTATTTATACTGAGGGAATTTCACTTCATTTGAATGCTAGGGTTTTCTTTCCTCAAAGATATTATTATTTTAACTATAAACTTTGCATCTCCTGGATATAAATTTCTTTCTTCCCATACAAAAATTGGTTATAATGTTAGTAGAAACATTTGAAATTAATAATTAAAAACTTGAAAACTGATGAGCATTCAAATTAAAAATAGTACATAACATTTGAAATTGAAAATCCTTTCCCTCCCTCCACATATCCAATAAAAACTGCAGAATATCTTAATATTTACCAATTAAATTAATACTTGTAAATGGATTTCTCACAATCCATTTTATTTTGAGAAAAAGGTTCATAGTAATAATTTTTCTTTTAATAGAATTTTACAAAAATTTGAACAATTTTTTAAAAATTAAAAAAAAATGAATATTTTTTGCTTTAGCAATCTTGATAAGTTTCTGAAAACAAACAACAGGTGCAGTACATGTTCATTTAAAGTGTCTCGCACACTTTGAGAATTTGCAGAAAAAGGGCTGTAACCTGGAATGGAATATGAATATCTAGCCCAATATTTTTCATATCTCGATGTGATTTTAAATAAATCCAAACATTTCTGGTGTACGATCAGCTATTTGCTTACTTTGTTATATTTTATTTAATGTTTAAAAATGGCTCATAGTCATAAAAAAGCAACAAACAACATTTGAAAATGGATCATTTTTTATCACAAGATTGGAAATTTGATTCGGGATATCGTTAAAATAGTAAATTTATCCCATTTTACAGTGCAGTATGTGATAAAACATTATAAAGAAGAAAATGGAATCCAAAATAAAGTAAAAAGAGGTTGTCCAGCAAAGAGAATTTGACATGACTCGATGTGATCGAGATTTATAGTTAGAAAATCTGTGAAAAACCCCCATCAGTGTTGTAAAGATTTCTACAGAATTTATTAAAAAATTTTCTACTTCAATTTCACTTAAAACAATTTGACAAGTGCTCAGATCAGCTGGATTACATGGACACTCTGCTCAAAGAAAACTTTTTGAAAGTGCAAAAAATAGAAAGGCTTAGGCTTTTCTTCTCAAAATCAATGGTAAATAAGCCCAAAGTGTATTGGAATCATATCTGAATATGCAAATGAAAATAAATTTAACATTTTTGGTTCAGATAAGTGTATAATTGTATGGAGAGGGAAAAACAAAGAGGAGCTTAATTCTAAAACCTTGGTTGAAAATGTTCTAGTGTAAAGGTGCATGTCAGCATAAGGATTAAATAATTTAGTATTTATTGATGGTACAATGAGCCATGCTCTTTATTTAAATATTTTAAAAGATGATTTAAAATTATCTGCCTAAAATTTGGATACTGAAAAGAACTTTATTTTTTATCACAGTAACGATCCTAAGCACATGGCCCTCAGCGTTCGCCTTTTGGATGTCTATAATTGTTCACAAGTTCTGAAAACACCACCTTAGTAACTAGATTTAAACCCAACAAAACACATTTAGAGAGAATTAAAGTTTAGAATACGAAGAAACAACATTAAAACAAAAATCAAACTAAAAACTGTAATGATGGAAGAATGGAGGAATATTGATGCAGATATTATACAAAAACTGGCTAGCTATGCCTAGATGTTTGAAAGCTGTCATTAAGTACTGCAGGATATACAACAAAATATTAACATAAATACTATTATATTTACCAACATGTGCAGATTTCTTTAAAGCATAGGAAGACTTTCATGAGGTAACTTTTTTGTTACATTTTTATCATTGATTTAAAAAAAAAAAAAAAAAAAAAGGTTTAATCTGTCCATTATATAATTAATGTAGTTTTGCTAAGAGAAACGTATAGATGTTATTAAAAAATTTTCTTTCTAAAATAATAATTTTTATTAACAAATAATGGGTACTTTTTCCATTTTGCCGGCGCAGGCGATAAAGTCGCCAATAATGGTACAACTGATGCCAAACAGAATATCCTCACTGGTAATCTTTTACACCTCATTTTCAAAACAAGGCCCAGCCATTTCTTATTAGATTGATTGTTTCTTTCAATACCGGCATACAATTAGATAGAATCTTTAGCAGATAGTTCAATTTTATGCCCTAAGGCCACTCACGGTAATTAAGTCAATTAAGATGTCATCACATTACTCACCCGAAAGCGAAAATATAGAAAAGGCAATGTCAAGGGTTAAGTTCATCAATTCTAATGAGAATGCACTAGCGAAATAAAGCACTGCAGTTTTACATAAGCTATTTATGAATTGAAGTAATTCTAGCATTTAAACTTGCAAATTTAAAATTGATGTAGATAATTACTGAGAGAATTAGATTTTTGTAGCATAGTTTACATGGGATGAGCTCAGTTGGGGTCACGTGATATGAACTGGCGAATCAGGATGTTGAACCATGATAGCATAGTAAATTCTTAAATTAATGTCTTTTTACAAATTTATTGTCTTTTTACAAAATGTTAAACCATATTAACATGTCTATGCCTTCAAAATAAAAAATTCTTAGACCTAACATTAGTTGACATTTTTTATGTGTATATTGTATGTTGTCGCCAACAAAGTCTGCTTTGCGAGATTTGCGCGGGCGAAACGGAAAAGTACGGAATAAAGCAATATTTCACTGAAACTTATTAGTGTATGAACACTTTTGTAAGCCACTGTAATTTGAGGAGTACGCATTTTAAAGTCATCCGAAACATATTCCAGGCTTGAGTACTACACGATTAAATATATACATAATTAAATTACACGTCACCAAATACGTACTTTAGATTCTGCTAGATCTGGCAAATCCAGTGCATCCTTTTTCAAATCGGACCTGCAGATATAAATATTTTTTCATTAAAAAAAAAGAGAGATTTTACACTGGTTCTTATAATGAAAAGAATTATGGTGTCAGCATAAGTGTACATATGTAAGAGTAAAAATCAGGTTTTTGAAAAAAAAAAGGGGGGGGAAAGCATAAAGTGAAATTTGAAGAAAAAAACTAACACATATCTGAATATTTTGAAATATTTACATGGGGACATTTACTTACCACTAAAACAGAAAATTAGAGAAATGAAATTGTCTAACTTTCTGTTTTTCACTAATTTTCCATTCTAAAAGGAAAAGTAAAGATGCTTTTAAATGCTGCAGTGAAAAATCAATATATTTCACTTATATATTATTTTTGCAAAAAACATAATTTTAATGAAATTCAAATATTAAAAAAATGGTAAAAGTATATTTACAGGTACCCTTGGCAAAAATTGGTGGCACGTGGATACCAAGTCTGTGCAATTCTTCAACTTATCATTTTAGCTTGCGTAGCAGCCACTACACAAAACCAAAATAACAAAACAAAGATTTGCACAAACTCGGTATCCATGTACACACTGACCTATTTTCACTTAAAAAACCATCACAGAATTGCACAAACTAGGCACTGTGCACTCTCTTGACTTTGTCCATGTACACATCGAACTATATTCACTTAAAAAGTCAAAGGAGCAGCCAACAAAAAAAATATATATATATATTTATATATATATATATATAATCTCAATAAACTACATTTTAAATCAAACAATGAAATAACATAAAGAAGTAAATTCATATTTGCACTACATAAAGGAAATATCCACTTACCTTGTTTACGAATTAACACATCTTCAGTCAAACAGAATTCCTTAACAGCATCCAAAAACTTCCTAAAATTATCTAATATCCTCCGTAGCGGCGTATCGTCCGACCATACGCATTTCCTTTCTACAAACAAGACACTGAATAATGGCTACTAAGTAAAAATTCATTTACACACCAGTCAAGTAATGCTCTTTTTCCCTTTCTTTCCAAATCATACAGAAACTTCAAATTAATCTTACCACATTCAGCCATTTTACAGTATAAACCAGAAAACAAGCAATGTACTTCCTAACCAACACACACAACAAGCTCTTACAAATTCACTGCAATCATGCATTTGATTACGTCATAGTAGGGTTTTCATAACATTCAACTACTCAAGCTAAATAAACTACCACTTGGCGAAAATACAAGGGGTACCCTTCTCTCTACTCTAACCCAAAAATTACTCAATATTAAAAAATTATCATGAAATACATATATATTAAAATCAAAAATCATCAAATTAATTAAAATCAAAAATATTAAAATTGCTAAAATGTTGATAAATGACTGAACATAACAAAAGAATTCATGGCTAATCTTTGGAATATGGTAACAGGTAGTTTGGCGACATTTTGGTAAGGCGATAAAGGTTACCAGCTACGAATTTAGCAGTGTACATGGATAAAGTCAAGAGTGTGCGTAATGTCATTTTTGTGAAATTCTGGGATGTTTTTTAAAGTGAAAATAGGTCGACATGTACATGGATGATACCGTGTATGTGCAATTCTTAAAAACGCGGCAAGCAGTTTGCGATTCTGCACTTTCTCCCAATTTCGCACCTAATCTTCGTCATGATTAAGCACTTTTGTTTCATAAAAGTTCATGCATAAGCGTAATTCAGCTAGCAGATTGTTGGAAAAAAAACAAAAAATTAAAAAAAAAAAAAAAAAAAAAAAAACGCCTTTACTTCATGAAAACAAAATGGCGTCCAAACAATAACTAGCAGGTTGTTGTAGCAGGGTTGGTCTCCAAAAAATCGCCAAGTTACCATAATCCAAAGATTAACCGAATTCATATTAGAAAAAGTAAAGAAATCGTTTTTGAGGGCAAATACAAATGGCATCTAAGCATATGCCAGAAACCATTTGCACATTTTTTAATTATTTTAACTTTAAATTTGCTTTTTACGTATATACATGTTTGTTAAAACTCAATACTATATACATTTTTTGTGACATTTTGCGTATGGGTTTAGTGTCAAATCCAAATTAGTGCAAATTCTGGCACTTTTACAAAAACTGCACAGCTTATAAAAAAATGAATTTCATGTTTAAAATAATAAAACTAGAACAGATTTTGAAAAAATTTAAAAAAATTCAGATGATCCCCTCAGATGTTCAACATCCTTAAATAGATAGTTGTGAAAAAGTCTTTTCTTAAGCAGATGGATCTTCTGTTTTCTAGATCTCTTATATTCCTCAACAGAGTGTCTGGAATGTCGCTTTTGGCTCATATTTTTATAAGCAGCTCTTTTTGCTTGCATTACAAGGAAGCATTCATAAGCGAGCCAATCCCTTAGGTAGGGTTTCTCCATATATCCCAGCATATCACCAGCTGAGCGGATGATCAAGTCTTTGAGCAAACTCCATTTATTTTCCACAGTTTCCAATTCGGCCATGTTTTTAGATCTTAGTTCTTCCCTGAGGGAGGACTGGGAATTTCGTTCAATTGCCTCATTTTTCAGCTTTTCACAATCAAACTTTTTTTGCCTCTCCCTGTACCTTTCAGCGTTTGAAATTTTGACAATTAGTTTAGCAATAACCAAAAAGTGGTCGTAATCACAAGTATTGCCTTGATAAATTCTAACATCTTGGATATCTGAAGAATGCCTAGAATCGATGAGTGCATGATGAATTTGATTCCAGGTTTTTCCATCAGGTGAGCGCGAAGTCATCTTATGTATTCTCTTGTGGCTGAACACAGTGCTTGAAATTATTATGTTGTGTTCAGCAGCAAAAAGTACTGGTCATTGACCATTGTCATTAGTACTATCATGTAAGCCATGCTTTCCAATTGTTGGTCTAAATTCATTCTCTTTACCCAATTTAGCATTCATATCTCCAATAAAAATTTTAATGTCATGCTTGGGTCAAAATCCATATAACATAGAAAGTTCGTCATAAAAAATGTCCTTCTCTTCCTCTTCCTCTGTAGGTACATGCCCATTGATAATACTATTATTAAAAAACTTTCCCCTTAGCCGGATTTTGCAAAGTTGGGGTGATTTAGGAACAAAATCAATATCTAAGTGTTGAAACTTTTGTTCAATAAGAAACCAGTATTAAAAACATGTTTTTTCACATCACAGCTATAGTAAACCATGTGGTTTCTTTTCTCAATGGTACCTTCCCCAAGCCATCACATTTCCTGAATGGCAAGTAGATCCATATTATATTTGTCAAATTCTTTCATAAGAAATTGCAGTCCCCTACTGTAGTACAATGTTTGGACATTCCAGGTTCCAAAGCGAAGGGTCCTCAGACCATTTCTAAGTCATTTTACAGTAGAAGCAGTCCTGATAATTCTCTGGATTTCTTAAGAGATTTTTTACAGGGTGGGGTAGTTGGCCCCATGCCCAACCTCTAACCTGGAGGACTAGTCTCCTGATATAATCCCTAGGGGCAGGGTGCCAGGCTATAATTCAAATACACCGCTCGACATTGAAAATGCAACATCAAGAAGGAGTGGTCAGAAAGTGATGAAATTTGGAAAAAAGACAGAGACAGCAAGCAGCAATAAGTGATCTTTATTTCAAAATGATAGTCAGAATACAGATCGAAAACAGTGTCGGCTCAGTAGGATGTAGGACCACCACGGCAGAGAGCACGAAGAAGAAACACGTCTAGGCATAGAGTCAATAAGAGTGCGGATGGTATCCTGAGGGATGGCTCTCCATTTCCTTTCAACCATTTGCCACAGTTCGTCTTCTGAAAGAAGCAGAGCAGAGTCTGCAAACGGCATCCAATCATATCCCACACATGTTCAATTGTTGACAATTCAGGAGAGTATGGTGACCAGGGAAGCATCTGTATACCTTGCAGAGCATGTCAGCAGATGCGAGCATTGTGTGGTCGGGCATTATCCTGCTGAAAAATTGCATTAGCAATTGCCACTGGCCGCAGTACATTTTCCAAGTATCGTTGGGCCGTCATAGTGCCCTGAATACGAACTAGGGGTGACCTGGAATCGTCGGCAACAGTGCCCCAAACCATTGTCATGTTGTCGCGCGGTGGGCGTTCCACAGTTACTGCCGGATTAGATCTGCCTCCACGTAGAAACCACACACGTATGCGGCAACTGTCATTGGATAAACAGAAGCATGACTTATCTGAGAACACGATGTTTCGCTATTCTGTCATCCACATCGCTCCAGTCCGGCACCATTGTAAACATTGACGTCTATGCCGTGGAGTCAATGGCAGTCTTCTTAACGGACGGCGTGAGTGCAGGCAACGTTTAACCAATCAACAGGAAATAGCTCTGGCCGACACAGGAACATCCAGGGTATCTTGCCCATGCTGCAGAATCACGGTACAAGTGACTTGCAGGACCGCCACAGCATGTCGGCAAATGCGTTGATCCACGCGTGTTGACATCACTCTGGCGCACCGCACCCCTCCTTTCTTCCCACATTTCCTTGTTCCAACCATGTTCGCCATAGCTGATGCACCGTGCTCGCATCCATGTGGGTATCAGCTGTGATTTGACGTAAGGACCAACCCGCCCTTCTCAGTCTGATCACCATACCCCTCGTAAAATCATCTATCTGTTGGAAGTGCCTTCATTGACGGCGGCCTGGCATTCTCTCCTATTACACATATCCTCCGGAACAAAAACTAACTTTCTTCGATAATTTGTCTGGCAGAAATAACAACACGAATATCGCTCATTCTGCACGTTCCTTCCCTTATACCTTACTTTACATGTGTCGGACAGCTGTGCATTTCACATCATTCGCATAACTCAGTGACGTGCGTCTACTCTAAAATTTGCATAAATTTCTGACCACTCATTCTGGGTGTTGCATTTTCAGTGTTGAGCAGTGTATCTACTTTGCAAATAAGTTTAACCTCATGGCACAAGCTTTAAATTATTGACATTTAAGTTCATCATAAATTCATACATCAAGTTAAAAAAATATGTTCC